GGAGGCTTAATCACTGACTTTGAGATATACCTATTTTCGACTAGTTTCGGTGCCTCCGATGGACATTTTGGTGACTACGGTTTTAAAATTTCGATTTTTCTATTTACATCTTCCTCAAACTCTGTTATTTTATCTTGTGTATCTATTATCTTTTTCTTCTAATTCCTGTATTTATTATTAAAGCTGGCCTGTAAAGCTTTAGAATTTTCTATGATCTTATCTTCTAAAATATTAATTAAATCCTGAATTTTCATCATTTTATCACTGATTTTATCTTCTAAATTATTCAAATTAAGTTGGCTTAAATTGTCTTGCAATAATTTTGTCATTCAAACCGTCTTCTAATTTTTGAGAGTTTCCGTTTATCTTCTAATTTTAGGCACGAGTCAAGGTCATCTTCCAACTCAAAGCAAATGTGTCAGGATCCTCTCCTTCCTCAATCAAAACGTCTCAGTCTGGTTTGCAAAATACTTTTCTTTCCATCTGTCTCGCACCCTCTCTCTTCCAATATGGATTTCAGTTCCGACACTTTCAAGTCAACAATTTTTTCGGAGACATTGTCTGTCTTTTTATTTTCTATCACACACGCCACACCTGACACCAATTGTTACGTTTTTCGTCGGTTCCGTCTGGATAGAAAGTCACAAGTATTTAAACACTCATTTATTTAACACTAATTAACAAAAATAATAACGATAAAAGACTTATAGAACTATTTACAAACGATTTATAACTAAGAATTTATTTTTAATTTTAGCGCGTCGACTGTATATTTATAACTGCCCCATGTAAGCCACGGCCGCCGGCTTTATACCGGCAGGTAAAGAACTCTAGAATTGTCCATAGAACGTTAGGTGCATAGAGAAGGTTTTCGAATGCTCGTATGTACTCGTCCATTCCAGTGGACTCGATTCTTCTCGAACGAATGAATCATTGCGGTGTCTATGCGATGTTAAGGTCATCCGTGAGGTTAGGTCGAGTCCACACCGGCCCGCAACAGATTACAACTGTGCGATTAGCATACTATTATTAAAATGTTTGGTAATAAGTGTCAATTTTGTTTCTCGGAAATCAGGTGTACATGTGTTTAAGTTTCACGCGTCAAGAGATCCTAATTTATGTACAAAGTGGATAGAAAATTGTGAGTTCATTCATATAGAATTTTTTTGCACATTTTGTATGTAAAAATACGGCGTTAAGTTACCTTAGAAATGGTGATCGATGGCTTTTACAATATACCGTATGATAAAAAAAAAAAAAAACGGCGTCAGCGATGGCTATGAAAATCGCTGTCATTTGATATGTAAATTATAGGAGTCATCGATCGTCATTTCCAAACCACTGGACGCCGTTTTTTTCGATCGTAGTGTATAATTTAACACATTAAGAGTTGTCCATCGTTATATTTCTATATCTATGCAAAGTTTACGATGGATAAATCAAGTAATATTAAGTGGATACAAATTATAAATGAATCAGTGAATATAAACTGTTATAAATTATAAGTAGGTAAGGCAGTTAGTGAATATACCGTACGATAGAAAAAAAAAAAGCGCGCGGGAGTTTGAAATGAAGATCGCTGTCGTTTAATAGGTAAAAAATTATATGATAAATCTTATCGATTGTCACTTCCAAATCAACATGACATGCATCTGTACATCATTAATCTCACGACTAGTTTCCTGAAATCCCGAACTCCCAGGATCCCGGCGGCGTGTAAGTTTCTATTCCGAAACTCGATATTAAATTCGTATCCCAACCCCATAAAATTTAAATGTCTTTAATTTATACACCTTTCAAAGATCAACAAGACAAAGTAAAATTCATATTTAGTAAGTAAAAAATGCAGTTTGTGACAATAGTTTGGTTTGGTTTGGTCGAGTTTGGTTAACACTGTCTAGTCTGGGCTTTTTATTTGATATATGTTAATCAAATAAAAAGCCCAGACTATATAAAATCAGGAGCTAACTCATAGAATCATATCAATTCTCTCTGTTGTAGGATAAGTTTCTATCTTCGGAAATTTTAGATTTTTTTGTTTCAACTGACGAACTGACACAAAAAGATAACTAGTTGCTAAAGCTGAACTAATTTGACAGCTATGTTGAATTAACATCAGATATATCACAGCCACCTAGATTATCAAATAATAAAGATCTATTCACACTAAATCATAGAAATGAAAATATCTAGAAAATCTTTGTTTGAGGGGTAGGCTGGCAACCTTAATAGTATTTGAAGTGGCCATGAATTTCCCATTGAATATCGGTGATTCAATTAAACTAAAGGGGTTGGTATTAAAGGAGTGCCAGGTTATACCACTCTGTTCCCCACCCTGTATAACTTATGGGTCAGGTTTTAATATGATTTAAAGTGCACAGAGGTGAATTCCAATTTAGGTAGTTTTTCTTGAAATTTAAAAATTGTTCTTCAAAATCTTAAGTAAGTCTAAAAACCTGGTTTCAGTCATATACTTCCCTAATGAAACACACCTTTATTTCTCTCTTAGAATCTAAAAATTAATTAATAAAGGGGTATCTGTTACAAAAAACACAAATTTGATGTGTAACTTTTTTGGGGACACCCTAGAACTCTCTATATTTTTAAAACGTGCGCAGAATTAACTTACATATGCTCACAAAATTTCATTTCAATACGAACTGGTCGTTCTCCTTGAGCCTCCGAGCGTATGAGAGGCGCCAATTCTGTATAATTTTTATATAGTTGCACTTTAATAAATTGTTAGTTAAAACTAACAGTCCTATGAGTGTGGAATTTTGTACATGTGGATTTTGGACATTCATCTCCTAAGAGAGTGAAATAAGGGATGAAAATTTGTACAAACATTTGTTAAATCGGGTTTAGAAGTATGAAATTTGCAGACGTTCCTTATGTAACGTAATTTCAGTTACACCTCATTTCCCCCCGTTAGAGGGCGAATTTCCAAAAATTGTTCCTGAGTGCTAAATTATGTTACATAAGGAACGTCTGCGCAAAATTTCATACTTCCAAAACCGATTTTAATGAATTTTTGTACAAATTTTCATCCCTTAATACTTATGGGGCGAATGCCTAAGATTGGCTTCTGAGTACTCACTTTCATCACTCGAGGAACCTCTGTGCAAATTTTCATACTTCTAGGATAGATTTTCAGAAAAGTTCACCCCTCATTTCACCCCCTTAGAGGGGAAAATTTCGAAAAATTGTTTAGTAAAGCAATTACCTTATATAAGGAACGTCTGCGAACAATTTTATACTTCTAAAACCGATTTTAATGTTTTGTGTGATATTAGTTTTATCCCTTATTTATGGATGCATGCCCAAAAATTCGCTTCTGAGTAAAACTTTCATCACTTGATGAACCTCTGTGCAAATTTTTCATACATCTAGAACAGATTTTTTTTCAGAACGTTCACGCTTCATTTCACCCCCTTAGAGGCAAATTTCCTAAAATTGCCCCTTAGTGCTAAATTAAGTTACATCAGGAACGTTTACGCAGAATTTCATACTTCTAAAACTGATTTTATCAAATTTTATACTCAATTTTCATCCCTTCTTAGGGGATGAATGTCCAAAATTTGTTTCTGAGTACTCACTTTCGTCACTTAATTAACAATTTCAAACTCCTCGGACTAATTTTAAAAAGTATACAAAATTCGAATACATTTTCCCTGGGTTTGACCGCAAATGTGAACAACTGGCTACGTCGCTTCACATCGCGTGGCCGTGGTGTGGCTCCAAATTCGTTCGTTTTAAAAATATTATTAGATTTGGCTATAGCCGCCCTCTGTGTCATTAATAGGGAACTGTCTCATCGAAAACATGCTGTTCCGTAAGCAATGGCCATCTGGATTATATGTTATCTGTGATAAAAACATACGAAAAAGTATAATAATGTTAAACTAAAAATTCAAAATATATTCTTTAGAGAGAAATTCAAAATCTTATTCTTCTGTTTTTATTAAAAAATAACAATTGGCTATTGGCCCCCAATGCCCCCCCCCCCATTGGCTTGCCTAATGCGTAAAGCGGCCCTGATCATAAGGAATATAAGAAAATATAATAAAAAAAAAAAACGGCATCCAGTTAGCTTGGAAATGACGATCGTTGACATGCATATATAAAATGAAAGCGATCTTCATTTCATAGCCATTACTGACGCCGTTTTTTTTCTCGATCATACGGAACTTGATCGGCTTGATCCCTTAACAATGGTATGTATTACATTAAATACAGAAATAACATTAAAATGAATTACATATTTATATTTTTTACATTGTAGGTTTAAAAGTTAACTCGTACCTATATGTTTATTTTATAAAAAAAAAAAAAAAAAAAAAAAAAAAAAAATAAAATGTATGTAATTACATGTTACAACATTTTTTATTAAAGAAAATATAAATTACATTTTTTTTTTTTATTTTTTTTATACCCTGTATATTACATTAGAAACAATAATACCAATAAAAAGTAACAACTCTAGCAGATCCTGCGTCTAAAAATAGGCAGTGGATTTATTATGAAAAAAAATCAACTGTTTTATATGAATTTATCTATCTCTAACTTAGCATTATGTATTTAATATAAAAACATTTTGCGATTTATAATACCTAGGCTTCAATCAGAGAAAAAAACATCAAAATAGACTAGGAAGTCAATAAATGGCGACGACATCTTTAGAACTAGTAAAATGAATTCCAAACAAAGAAGTAATGTCTGTCTATTTTCTAAAATAAAATATCAGTACTTATCTACTAAAATTAACTACTCAAAATTTCACGTAAAAATACTAATAGATAAACAATATACTACGCACTGTTATTATTTTTGTCTAATCAAAACAATCGTTAATAAAATTTCAGTGTGCAAGTCGAATTTAGGAACTGTGTGCAACGATCAGCTGTTTGCGATCAAACAATAGAAGACCAGCTTATAACGTCAAAACAAAATAGTGCATAGGGCTGATACGCTCCTAAACGAGTTTCTCAATGTTTCCTTACCTCGAAATGATCCTTTCCAACGAAAATCATCACTTTTCCAACCGGAAATGTGAGGTTTTCCGCCAGTCCCCTTCAACAATATCACCTACCTCCATAGGATGCCTCAGCACAACCATAACACAACTGACTGGTGAATGTCCTTGTGGCGGCCAATGACAGTCCGAGTCTTTGTTTATGAGCCACTCCATTGGTCAGAAAGATACAATTTTGTCCGGGAGGCGCACAGCAGTGCCAGATGGTGCAAATGTTCTCCAATATTTTAAAAACAAAATATTTCAATCAAGGATTTCAATTTAACATAAATGTTAAATTGAAATCCTGGTAAACTACAGAATAAGAAATTTCTTATATTCAGTATTATTACTCTGTTATTATTTATTACCATGATTTATGGATATTTTGCAATAAAAAAGTTTAAAAAAACATGCTAAAAATGCATGCTAAAAATGCATGCCTACAACACACGATAAACCAATAAATTTGTCCTTAGAAAAATTTTAAAAAATTAAACGGTTTCTAACAAGATATATTCTTGTATATTTCTCCGAATTTTCAGGAATAAATTGAATTTAATTCTTTTGATTCCTAATGGGGGTCATATACCTCAAAACGGAGATCGTCGACTGGTTTTTGTCCCGGAAACCGCAAAACCAGCGTTGTTACAAGGGCAAAAATTTTTGTACTGTAAATGGTGTCGAAATTGTACTTTTTTAAGTGGGATTGTACATTTTTGGTGCAAAAATGTGGGGTCATGTGATCTCTCTATTTACAGTACTTCTGTCCGTTCTGTAGCTACGGGGTATCCGTGAGAGGGGAAACGATATTCTCTGGATGTTTTTCGTAAAAAAATAGACGACGCGTCCCATCAATAAAAATTCAACAAATTTGCAAGTAGCCAATAAAATGAGTGGGCGGAGCGATTTAAAACGTAGACGTATAAAATATATTGCTGTTTATTTAAATGTTTTTTGTCCGCATTCCTTTCATAGACACAGATCCAGCAGAAGTACTGTACCTTTTTACCAAGTTTTGGTACGTAGGGTGCATCCACACTATCCTAAAAACAGCGGAACGGCGTATTGGCTTAACGACCTTGAATCGATTTCCTGCAATTCTATTGGCTGAAATTTTTGCCAGGTGAATTTGACAGATAAAATTTCTGACAGATGAATTTTTCAGCCAATAGAATTGCTGGAAATCGATTCAAGGTCGTTACGCCGATACGCCGCCGCCGATCCACTTTTTTAAGGATAATGTGGATGCACCCTCACAGAATTATACACCATATGCTAACCTCCTTTCACGCAGTTGAGCAGCTCTGAACTGTTTAAGAACGCGATACTCTCCCTCCATTCAATTGAGTCATAAAGTTCAGAACTGGTTCCGCGCCATATGGAGGCACCAGGCTATCTCGCACAGCCCCTCTCAGAACCGTTCTGAGCAGCCCAGGGCGTAAAGCTCTGGAACTTTAAATCGGAACTCTGGCTCCCAAATGGAGGACAGCAATACAGAAGCTACAAAGAGCTTTGAATAGCATTGGTTAAATGGGTGATTAACTAATTGCGTGACGTCACGTTTGACATCGGGACACAATAGATCTCTAAGGTCGCAGTGATTAACCCCCCTCCTAGTCACCACACGGATATCAAACTTACGTTTGACATCCGTGCGGCTTGAACAGCATTTCAAGTGATGTATAATTCTGGGCCTCTGCTCCTAGCAACCTGCATTTCAAATACACGCATTGCGTATCACCGTTCGTCTAAAAATATGTACGTGGGTTTAAGTTTGGGTTAGTTTGTGTTTGAGAAGTAAGAATTGTACATTTTTTCTTGCAATTGTACCTATGTACTCCTTGACTATCAAATGTACCCAAAATAGTACAATTGTACCTATTGTAACAACACTGCGCAAAACTCAGTCTTTTTTTCATGGCGGGACTGATTTTGTGAGCGTCGACCCCAGCTGGCGGTTCACAAGGTTGCCAGATCTATTTACTAAAAATTCCTTTAACATAAGATAAACATAAGCTATAGAACGTCGAGACTTCACTCGCTTCACTTCACTCCATCTTCACTTGTGTCTTCACTCTTAAGCCGGAGTCAAAGAGTAGATAAGACTTATCTACTCTTTGCCGGAGTCTCATGCATCCGAAATCCGATGGTACGACATCCGAAATTTGAAGTTATCGTGTGAAATAAAAAAAGCCTGTCACATACATCCGAAAGTTCGTTCCGAAATTTGACAGTTTTAACATTTTTCTGCTGCGCTGAATAGAGATTCATGTCATGTTTTATTGGAGAAACACTTATAAAAATAACTTCCTCGCCAAATATCCCGAAATTGCCCACTTCCCACTAAACTTGTTTTTAAAAACAAATGTTTTCAAAAAAAGTGAGGTTAAAAAACACGATATCGTACAAAAGTTAAACAAAATTTAACTTTATACGACGTCGGATGATTAGTTAAAATTATCGGATAAAAATTGTTGTCAAAATATTTCGGCCAATAGGAGCACCGTCGGATCGTCTTGTCATCGGATTTCGGATGCATGAGACTCCGGCTTCATAGACTTATTACTTCTTATTAGAACCAGAGCATAGAGAAACCAGAAAGAAACTAAAATAAATATATATACAGGGTGACCTAGAAATAAGTGCAAGTATTTTAACTGGTAGTATAACCCCAGAAACACGCCTGTGAGTTTTTTTTCGCGAATTTTTTTTTTGAAAATTCGAAATTTTTTTAGTTTTTATTTAAAAAAAATAATTTCTTGATAATATGGCAACATAGGTAATAGTTTAAATTTACAAGAAAGAAAATCCAGAAAAGATCCAGTTGTTCTCAAAATTTGAGCAAAATATGAGGTTTCCCGCCAGAAAAACAAAATTTTTTTTTTTAATTTTCAAAGTAAAATAACGCAGTTATTTTGGACTTATTTGAAAAACGTTAAAGAGAAAATATGTTTCTTTTATTGAGATCTACCACCCCTTAAAATACTTGCACTTATTTCTGGGACACCCTGTATTCTATATATCTCTATCATATCTCTGAATCAGAGTTAGAACCTGTTATCATTGGTTAGAACTTATTTTAGAACTACGGAGATTAGAACTAGAATCATAGATAAAAGACTTACTAGAATAAAGGACTATTTTTTTCAAGATGCATATTAAAATTAAAAATTTATACCCTGCAGGTTTACTGTATTTACAGACAGAAATATTTATTCTCTTGGCATGTTCAGTAAAATTAAATAAGTTTGCATTATGAAGGGTAGGACAACTCTTAAAAAAAAAATTCTAGACTTAAGTGTAAAGTGTATTGGGATATAAAACAGCTAAATAGATACGCATACTTGAATTAAATAATATACCTTATGATCGAGAAAAAACGGCGTCAGCGATGGCTATGGAATGAAGATCGCTGTCATTTTAAATGTAAATTTATATGGGAAATGTCATTGATGTTCATTTCCCAGCCAACTGGACGCCGTTTTTTTTCGATCATACGGTATTTCATGTCTTAATTTTATTTACTTGTTAAGATTATTTTAAAATAATTCAATATAGTTAAATAAGAATAAATGACTAAAATTAGCTGCACAATTGTTTCAAACAATATAAAGGCCATTATAGTAGTTCTATAACTCTATCAGTAGTTCTATAACTCTATCAATGTTGTTTAAACACCTTCCGATGTTTGGTTTTAAAGGAACACCTGTGACATTCTATCTCTACCTCTATACAGTCTGTTGTAAATGTAGATTCTGATCCGATTTTGTGTTGCACCCACTCATGTGTATCTAATTCTTCATATTTTTTTGTTTTGAAAGGGCAAGGAGAGTACTGACATCTAAATAGTGACTGCCCTAATCTTGATGCATCTGCACTAGCTTTGGGTTTCAAAAGCTTTTTAAATTCGGGTGTATCTTCAATACTGTCTTTAGCAGGAGTAACATATAAAAAGCTAGGTATCTGGTATATTTTACTCTTTCCACGTCTAGTTTTTCCAATTTTTTTATTAGTGTCATTGTTTTTCTTCCTTCTGTGATCACGACTAATAAAACAATCCGTGATTTCACATTCATTTGAATTTGATTTAGTTCTTTTTATATCAATGCCTGATTCCTCTATAACATTATCTGATTCTACCAAGCTAATTGTATATTCTTCTACATTACAGTTTTGTAAATCAATAGCTGATCTACTATCTTCATCGCTATAAGATATTGGTTTTACGGAAAACTGACCAAAACTTTGTTCAATTAAATCAGTAAAACATACATCAAGGGGTATGAATACATGGTTGTTACAGCAATTATCAGAAAGACCACTAGAACAGTTACTTTTCACAATATCCATCATGTCTCTGTTCTACCTTCTTAAACATAAACAGAATAAGAAAGTCTTTAAATGTTTAAATATTGAACAAAAACCAAACAGCTTTTAGTACCATTTTAGCAGTTCTAACTATGTTTATAATCATGGAAAAATAAATGTAAATGTAGGAAAGAAATGGAAAAATCTAATTTCTAAACTTGATATTATGATATTCTTAGATGATATTGGAAATTGGATAATGAAAAATGAAATGAAGCACAGATCAGTGTTCCCAACTCTCAAAAATTTATCTCCCAAAAAATCTAAACACTCCCATCAAAAATCATTCAAAAATACCCAAAATATCCCTAAAAACCTAAAAAAAAATCCCGAAAAAACCCTAAAATATAAATAATAAAAGTGGTTGACCTTGAAACGTCTGATCACAGCAATTTAGCCAACTGTTCGAAACTTTCCATTAAAGCAATATCAAACCTTCCAAACAACTAAAATCCCCACAACTGTTCTCCAAGATTCGGTGATTAAAATAAATAAATTATTTTGTTTTATTGATACTTTCCTATTAATTTTCAAAAATAGCAGTAGCGGTCATCTCCTCTTTGGTAGCGGTAAAATTCCATTGAAATTTTATCCCTAAAAATATCCCCAAAAAATTTTACTCCCTAAAAAATTCCCCATATAGATTTTTTCTCCCCAAATTTAGGGATAGAATATCGGAGTTGGTGACACTGGCACAGATAACTAAAAGTGATGTGTCAAAAATTTCGTAAACCCAGAGCTATGGAGGGTCAACCATATGGAGTGCGTTCCACTAAGCGCTCATAATGCTCAAAATATGCCTTCGGTCGTTCCACATGACGATCGCGGACGTTGTGGTCGCGGCGTAAACGTCACTAATGACGTCATTATTTTCGCTCACGCCGAGCTCACAACGACCCATCTGAATATTAGGATCGAAGTGGACGTTGAGGAATTATGGCGCAATTTTTAAAACTTAGACAAAAGATTATCGACTTAGGATAAAAAAATCATAGATTCTCATAGCCAATAATACGTGGCCTAAGTGTTCGCTTTTTACATCGCGATTTTGTAAAATTGCATTCCACTATTCGTCTGAACTAGATGAAGAAGTTTCAGACACATTCCTATGCACCAAATATCCAACTGTCGCCAAAGACATTTTGATTTCTTTTTTTAGACAGATTTTTTGAATTCTCTTCTGTGATTTTGACTATTATTTACTATTTATTTACATACATTGACAGGATTGACGCTTAAAACGCCCCATAAGCCATTCCACTTGAGTTTATGATTGTAACGCTCGCAAGCAAGTGGAACGGGAAAAATCGCGATCTTGAGCGTGAACGTTATGAGTGCTTAGTGGAACGTACTCATGGAGTGCGTTCCACTAAGCGCTCATAATGCTCAAAATATGCTTTCGGTCGTTCCACATGACGATCGAGGACGTTGTGGTCGCGGCGAAAACGTCACTAATGACGTCATTATTTTCGCTCACGCCGAGCTCACAACGACCTATCTGAATATTAGGATCGAAGTGGACGTTGAGGAATTTTGGCGAAATTTTTAAAACTTAGACAAAAGACTTTTTTAAAACTTAGACAAAAGAAAAAATTTTCATAGATTCCCATAGCCAATAATACGTGGCCTAAGTTTTCACTTTTTACGATCGAGATTTTGTAAAATTGCATCGATCCCACGTTCGTCTTGAACTAGTGAAATGAAGAAGCTTCAGACGACATTCGAATGCACCAACATATCCAAACTGTCGTCAAAGACGATTTTGTATTGTCTTTCTTTTTGAGACATTATTACTATTTAGCATCTTATTTAATGACATCTAGACCAGGAGGGGCTTAAAGCCCCATAACCCATTCCACTTGAGTTTATGATTGTAACGCTCGCAAGCAAGTGGAACGGGAAAAATCGCGATCTTGAGCGTGAACGTTATGAGTGCTTAGTGGAACGTACTCATGGTCAACCCCTTGAGGATACATTAAAATACGCAAGTTGCGGTTCAAGGACGGTTGGTTGCGTAACGCAACCAACCGTCCTTGAACCGTCCAATCAGATCAAAGAAGTAATCGTAGACAGGACACAGAAGATATACCTTATTTTCATTATTATCTGATATTACAGTTGCTTTGTATTTTTAATTTTTATTTATGTATTTCTTGACATTGTCACTCGTTTTGAAATTTTAATTAATAATTACTAAAACCAGCAGTTCTAAACATAATATTTAAACAATAAAAGACAAAATATTTAAAAAAAAAAATATTTGCATTTTTTTTTTTTTTTTAATATTTAAATTAAACTCACACTAGAAAATTATTTCTGTTTTTTTTTTGACACCCTGTATACCCAAAAAATGATGTTTCATGTTGATGATCATTTCATGACTTCCCGTCTTTGATGTGACATGGGATATTCTATGGAAAAGTAAGTAATCTGAAAGCACAGCCAACATATCGTTTGTTCTTTGTGTGCTAACGAAAAGATTTTCTTTCGCATCATGAGGAAGTATTACATCAATTAAAAAATGTTAGGAAATTGATTACTTGTCATGGAAAAGTATTCCAATGGAATTGCTGTAATAGAGCTCAATTTACGGTAAATTTTTATCTTAATTATGACCCTGTCTATTTTTTATAGTAGACTGTTTCAGGTTTAGAGGAGAATAAATTGGTCTGAACGCAGAATCTGGAGGAAGACCTTTTTAACTGATACACAGAATTCATGGCATCAGATACTAGTCAAATTTGCTTTATTGGTAGGCAATTATTCATACAAATTAACTATTTTAAAGTGACTTAAATATTAAAATAGTATCGAATATAATCAAACAATGATAAACAATACAATTTTCAGGACGATTAGGCCCAATTATATTTGAAACTCATCTGTTGGAGCATAGTCTGAGTGCGGCCTAGATATTATTCTAATACTGGTTAACGTGCAGGGTACTATTATTAGTACTGTACTTTTAAGCTTATACATAATAGAATTGTTGGTTACTCCATATTTGTTTATTTATTATTTTACCTTAACATTAAAATCTATCTGTGGTTTGAATGATGAAGTAACTTCACATGAATTTCAAGTTTCTTAAGTATAAATATTATAACTGGTTTTAAAAACTCAATAATAAAAAAAAAAAAAAAAAAAAAATTTATTTCAAAAAATAATAACTATATAGGATTTATTAATATCGCAAAAAAGACTTTCTATTCCTTAACACCAATTTAGTCCATCACATACATATGATCAAACCACTTTATTACGTCTAATGCAAATGAAGACCACAGGAAAAACCAGCTTGTTCATTTTAACTGGAACCGAGAAAAATGCAACTTACGCAGTGACTACCTCTGATTTATTCTCCTCTGCTAGGCACAAATACAATAAGCTGTCATATCTCCTGGCTCAGTTATTTATTATTGCTTCTTTATGGTCGCCATCGAATAATGCATAACGACTTGCTCTATAAAGTTGTGTCCGCTATTAATTCTTGCACGTGACAAACGTGAACATATACTTAGTTATCACGTACTTTTAGTCCTTCAAAATGACTCGAAAATTTTCAGCTGGGAATGACCCACTTATGCAGCAAAACACACTGATGTTGAATCATTGAAGTTTTTTTCGTGAGAGCATTTCACAATACAATCTCAAATGTACTGCATTCAAAACTAAAATGCCAAAACAGTTAGTGAGCTTTATTAATAAACATTACTATATATCATATACTAATATTCCTAGATCCTATTTATGTTCGTACATCCCAACCAATAATTTTATTATCCTAACCAAGTAATAATCCAAACAATGCCACCTTACTTATACTCAACGCCAAAGTAACTGTTACCAAGTGTTCCAATTAATATCCAGAATTAAACAAAGACATCGAACCGATTCTACATCTTATTTATATTTTCTAAATACGTAGTAATTGTCTGCATATGGCCATTACAAATATATCTTGATGCTAAATAGAAAAACTATCGATGTAAACACAGGTAAAAAACTCTTTGGCTAAAAGGGTCAAACCTTCGTAAAACCACTTCGTAACCCTAATACATTTTAAATTACATATCAACCGCGGCCTCCCCATAAGAGCAAAGAGAGAATTTATGTCCCACAGAATTCACTAACGAAACAGAGCAGCCCCAACAGTCTCCTATGCTAATAAATCAGGTTCATTTTACGTCAACGCCCATCTATCGACCATCCACGTGAACTTATAGGTTAATAAGCCGAAGGCCGCGTGCCGAGGCCGGGGGACTTCGCTAACAACCACTTCACTTTTATTTTTCACATAAAAAAAAAAAAAAAACATTTGCAATTTGCTATTTTGTTGCGAACGTAATTTTGTTGTCCATTGAAGCATTTTAAAATATTTAAAACAAAATATAAAATTTATTTATAACGGAATAACAGGAATTAAATAATCTGACAATCTACAAAGTTTATTGAAAAAAAGTTACGGCCTATGCAATTGATAGATATTAAGTTAACCTACTTTGAGTAAAAACATTGTTAAACAATTTAAAATTAAAAAAAAAAAAAAAAAAAAAAAAAAAAAAAAAAAAAAAAAAAACTTCAAAAATTAATTTTACCATAATATCAAAACCGACAAACTCACACATGCAAACACAACACACTATATCACAAAGACTTAACCCACACACGTGCCGCCGGCACAAATGTACCACAACAATGACCTGTCACTTCGGATGGTCATTCGCTCACGGTCGTAGCTTCAAACGTCGTCTAAATTGGCTGGCTAAGCTAAAATCCTCGTCCAACTCTTCACGCATCAGCCCATACATCCGTCCTAACTTGGGAACTTTGCCCTGATAGCATTCTTAAATATCCTTCACTTCTGCCCGAAACTCTGGAGGGCTTAAAAAGGGAGATTTATCGGCAATGTGCAAATTTGAAATTTCTGTCACCACTTTTAAGCAGCTTCATCGGTTTGACAGCAGAGGCACTGCAATCGACCGGCTTACTACATTTTCATTTGTTAGCTATACCGAATTTAAATTGTCCCGTTTCTTCTAATACAACTTATAGTTAAATTTACTGACATTTTTTTTTATAAAAAAAACCTATACAATAGATATTGTATAGTTCGTTCTTTCGTTCCTGGCTGTACATGTGGGAGTTTCAGTGGAAAAAAGGCAATTAAAGAACGGGGTGAAAGGAACCCAAGCCTTTTCAAAGCTACCTAAATGTAAGTACCTATGAGCTATTTATCTAT